CTCTCTCTCTCTCTCTCTCTCTCTCTCTCTCTCTCTCTCTCTCTCTCGTTTGTGTGTGGTTTTAGGCAAGGCCTACCTAGTCAAGATGCAAAGCAAAGATTACGTCATACAGTAACCCAGGCAGGGTTCTGTACTGTCCACACCTATTGCCTGCAGCTCTAAGTTATTTATGGACTGGGCATGGGGGTCCATACCTGCCATCCAAGCCAGCGCTCAGGAGGCTGAGGCAAGTTCTAGGCCAGCCTGGGCTACATTGCAAGATCCTGTCTCAAAGAACAAAATGACAACAACCAATTTCTAAACACGGCCTAGAAAGATGATCGTTCTGTAAAGGTGCCTGCTGCCAAGCCTGAAGACCTGAATTTGACCCCCCGGGTCCCATATGGGAAAGGGAGGGAGCTGCGTCTCATAAATTGTCCTCTGTTTGACATACATGCTGTAGCACACATGTGTTTACACAGATACATAAAATAAGTAAATGTAACAAAAATTAAAAACAGGGCTGGAGAGATGGCTCAGAGGTTAAGAACACTTGCTGTACTTGCAGAGGACCTGGTTTTGATTCCCAGCACTCAAATGACAGCTCACAACTGTTTGCAACTCCAGTTCCATGGAATTAAACACCCTCTTCCGGCTTCCTTGGGCACCAGGCACACACGTGGTGCAGAGACACACATCCAGGCAAAAACATATAAAATAAAACTAAATTTGTTTGTTTGTTTTTGTTTTGCTTTTCAAGACAGGGTCCCTCTGTCCTGACTGTCCTGGAATTCGCTTTGTTGACCAGGCTGACTTTGAACTCTTAGAGATCCGCTTGCCTCTACATCCTAAGTGCTGGAATTAAAAGCGTGTGTCACCATCACCAAACAAAACTAAATTTTAATAAATTACAAAGCAACTTTCCAAAAAGGACAATTTACAACCTTAGGAGAAAACACATTGTAACAAATAGGAAAAGTAACATGTAAATCAATGTAGTTAAGAAGATAAATTGCCTGATAGAAAGATGGGTAAGGAAGCCCAGAAGGTAATGCACAGTAAGGGACTACAAACAGCCAACAGAGGGGAGGAGTGGCTCGATTCCACTGGCGATCAGAGAGTGAAAATTAAAAACATGGGTTGACATTTTCTACTCATCAGATTGACTGCAGCTTAAAGTTGAAACTGAGAATATGCAGCGTTAATGAGTGTGTGGAGGGCATTCATTTTCATAACTGCTTAGCGGTATTAGCGACCACTCCATCTGTTTTTTGCTGGTGTCTGTCAGGCTGAGAGGAACAGCTAAGGCTGCCTCTGCTATCTTCCAGGTATCATGGGGTGCGGGTGAGGTGTGCTGGCGTGGGTGGGGGGGGGTGATTGCTTTAAAATGACCCGGCAGAGCAATGGCTGTCATGAAGCTGACACAGAGACACAACCAAAAGGAAGGATTTAGAATTGTGAAGGCGGCAAATCCAGGTTTAAGTATGAAAGGCGAGAAAGGGAGCACCCTCTTGGAGGATCATTTCTGCCTGCTCTCCAGAGCAGATGTGCTGTGGGGGATGGCAGAAATCCCAGAGATCTGGGCTGAGTGGACAGGGGCATCCTGGGGTAGGGTGAGAGTTTCCCTGTCAAGTCTGGGCAGAGTCACAGTGAAGGCCCTGAAGCTGAACCAGTGTGGCTATGACTGACCCACCAAGTCAGTCTAAGTACGTCTGCCTGATGGGCCCTGGGCTGTGAGGGGGCCTCAAGCCCCCGAAGGACTGACTCTTGGGAGGTCACACCGACAGAGGACGACTGTCAAGTGCCTATTTAGGATGGGAGGTGGGAAGGAGGGGCCATCAGGGACACAGGCAGGGCACTCGGTGTGGCTGTGAGCAGGGAGCAGAAGGAATGCAGAGATGAGAAGAGACAAGGCTGAGTCCAGCCAACAGGTCTGATCTCCTGGGCTGAGTCTGTCTGCTCCACTCATTCATCATTCCAAAAGAATTTTACAAAACACCAACAGGCTGCCAGGCACAGGCTGAGATTTGGGGCGATATGGCAGGGATCCTGACAAGGCACCTGCTCTGGAGGTGATTTGGAAGGAAGCGGGAGTCCAGGAAGGGAAATAAACAGGAAGATAATCCCGGCAGAGAACTGCCCTGAGAGAATAAAATGGCGATGAATTAGGAGTAGAGTGGGCGGCGGGAAGAGAGAGGGGCGAGCAGCTGATGTCTGAGTGACAAAAAGAAAAAAAAAAAGAAAGAAAGAAAAAACAAACAAACAAACAAACAAAAAGCAGCAAGAAAAGGCAGGGAGGGAACTCCAAAGAAAGTAGGCGGGCACTGCAGGCAGAGGCTAATTGCATAAGACAGTGTTGTGCTAATAAGATCATGTTAAGAAAATTAGGCTTTTTCATTTGTAAAGAACTCACTAGTGAATTCTATTTTTAGTTCTTCCCCTGAGAGTCTGCAAATATTTGTTTGTTGGGGCTGCTGGGGAAGCCTCTAGGTCCTCGAAGAACCTTTTGGGGATGAGCATCAGGGGATGAGCAGCGCTGTTGAGAAGCACCCACCTGCCACGGGGAGTCACGTCCAGAAAGAACTGCACGAGCGCCAGCAGGTTGTGGTGGTGGTCGGAGACCCAGCTGAGGGAGCAGCACAGCGCCTGGAGCTGTGGGGACAGAGACACCTGTGGGCTCTGGGGGAGGAGGCTGCCTTCACCTCTGCCCTGCTGCCCAGCGAACTCAGGGGAGCAAAGGGAATCACGAGAGCCACAGACCCCTGAAGAAACTGCAAGTGGTGCCCTTCCCATGTAGGGTACGCTAGGGCAAGATAGTTCAGGGACCAGGCTGTGGTACCTTTCCCGGCCACTCTTGGATGTTTTCCAGCAGCAGGAGCAGGAGCTGCTGGAGGTCAGTCTTGGGCAGCAGGCGCAAGCCCACATCCAGGCCTGCGTGACACAGCAGCTCCATCAGGCTCAGAATGCTGGTGTCCGTGTAGGACCTCGGCTGGACTAGGAAACACAGAATCAGGAACTGAAAGGAGAGAGAACCAGGATGGGGCAGGGGGACATGAAATGAGGGAACGGCCAATAGGAAACAGTGAAGAATGAGCAGGGGACTCAGAGTGAGAGAACTGCGGGACCCGTTCCCTGGTGACCAGTGGGGAACCTTCTCTGTCACTTCTTTGGCCAAGCTGGCAGTCACAGGCGGATTGCAGGCTTTCTGTAGCATGGGTACCGGGGCCACCACTGAGCCTACAATGGTGCTGAGGTGGTTCACTGCAGGCATCTGATGATGCTACCCAGCTAAACTGCTGAGTAGGTCTGGGTGTTGGTTGCACCCCAACACTTCGTGGAGAGGCAGAAAAGTTTGGCTCACCTTGTAGATGTAGCTTAGCTTAGTGTCCAAGGCTACTTCCTGGAGAGGGTCCTGTGGCTCCTGCCAGCCCAGGCTGGCCTCACTCTCAAGCACTCTGACATAAAACAGAAACAGTTATCAGTCTACATGACAGGGGAATCGAGGGGGTGAACAAGGAGAAAGAGGCAGAGCCAGGGGAGCAGAGAATGCACAGAGGACCCACTGTCCAAGGCCACTGTCACTGTGTGTCCCAGCATCATTGGCTAGGAGAGACCTTTCCCTTCCCCCAAGTAGAGGCTTAAAACCATTTATTATGGTTAAGCAGTGGTGGTGCACACCTTTAATCCCAGCACTCAGGAGGCAGAGTCAGGCGAATCTCCGTGTATTCTAAGCCAACCTGGTCTACAAAGTGAGTTCCAAGGTAGTCAGGGCTACACAGAGAAATCTATCTCAAAAACAACAAAACAACAACAAATAAAACACAAACAAACATAAAAAAACCATTTATTAAGCCACTGAGATTCTGATCCAGGGGCAGCCAGGTGGGGGTGCTTCTGTGGGTCACATTCAAGATACTGGGTGGAACTACGTTCATGTCAGGCTTGCCCAAGCTGGGAGCCTCTCAGTTTACCCATGCAACGCTGGAGTGGGAAGTTCCTGGTTCCTTGCCCCATGGGGCTTCTCAACATGGTGGCTGGATTCCTTCCCAGAGTTGGAGGGAAGTACAGCTACATCTGTGCCTTTCAGACCTGATCTTAAGATGACATCCATTGCTCCTACTGATTTCTAACAGCCACACAGGCCACCCTGACTGGGTGTGGGTGTGGACTACACAAGAGCATGTAGTGGGAGAGAACACCACTGAGTGGTGGTCACTGGGTAGCTGCCGCATTCACACTCAACGTTCAGAGGTCATCTCCGGCTTCAGCATTCTGGGACCTCTGATCCCCCTAGCGATCTCCTACAAAAGCCATCTTTGCCTGGTCAATAATGCTACCCACTAAAAGAATCACATGATAACTCACAAGCAGGTTCAGCAAGTGAGACAAAAATCAGAACAAAGCTAATCCCTGCACACCCCCACCAAAGGCTGGTGTGATGTTGCATCTAACAAGTTATCTATGAACAAGCTCAGTGTGGCCAGTCCCTCCACTGATGGGACAGATCTACTCAAGCACCAGCAGAGGTTGGTGGCTGGGGATGGGTGAAGAAACCCAGAGTCGCACACAGCCAGTCCAGAGCTGCTCCCAGCAAAGATGGGATGGCATGAGTGGGGAGCCCTGCAAACTTCCTGGATCACTGAATTATTCTCTTCCAGATTTCAAGCCAAATGTACATTAGCCACCCCAGGTCAGTTAAATTCTCTGCCGTCTCATTCACTTATCCTTTTTTTTTTTTTGAGATGGTTCTCAGTTATTCCAGGTTAGTGTCAAGAATCATCTTGAGCTTCTGATCCTCTTCCTCCTGAGTGTTGTGTGGTGCTGGGGCTCAAACCCAGGGCTTCATGCTTGCTAGGCACAGACTCCATTAACACTGTTGCTGCAGCCCCTGCCGTGACTTCTCCACTCTTGGGAACCTGCTTAGAGTCCCTGAAAGCAGTGGGCCCCCAACCGCAGATGCTGAGGGTGACATTGACGCTGTTGCAGTTTCAGGCTCTAGCACGGTTGTTCTGGCACTGGGCACTGTCAGGCACCACTATGCAGCTTCAGCAAGTTTCCTTTATCTTCACTTTTTGACCCCGGCGTATCGGAGGAGAAAGGGATCTGTCGCTCACATCTCTGGGAAGTTGGTGCCAAACAGCCAAGGTCGGTGGTGGGGAAGCTGGAGCAGCTCGGCCTTTCTTTGGGATCTCAGCCTTTATTAGGACCAGAGAATGGGTGAGGCTGGAGTTTGCAGATCTGGGTGGATACTGGGCCCACGCCAATATGTGAGTGGGTGTCTCGGTTCGTACCAGCCTGGGAGCAGGCACTGGATTCAAGCTTGGGTGGGCATGTTTTCAGATGTTCAGAAAGACTCGGGCAGCCGTGCGCTGCTACAGAGAAACAGGCTTCCAGACAGTGTGGTGCTGCCAAGGGAGAAGGAGCAAAGAACGCGTGAGCTGGCGACATGTCTTTTTACAACTGTCTAAGGAAACGAAGTGTGGCTGTAACAGAGCCCTTTCCTCCTTGGGAAGGGATGCCAGACTTCTCGAGTAGAGCTACCTTCTCTTGTGAGTGCCAGATACTTCCCAGCCCTTCTATGTCTGGTCAGCAAAATCGTGAGGGCCCTTCCCCACTGCTGGCATTTATAACTGCTATTGTACGTGTGATTTATTTATATGGTTGGCAGTGTTGTGCGATGACCCAGGGCCTCCTGCATGCTAGGCAAGGACTTTACCCTTGGATGATATCCTGTGAGTGCTTCTCTACATGCAGCATCGGCTAATTCTCACGACTTCACCAATCAGGCCAGGGAGCACCAGGAATTTAAGGCCCATCAGTTCCCATTCTTGCAGCCTGAACTCAGCAGTTGAGGAGTGAGCTGATGGTTCCACAGTCAGCTTCTTCTCCAGTCACAGATGAGCACTTACTGCCTCCCTTAATGATCTGGAGTCTGAGTCTCAGCCACATTGCTTTAGACTCATAAAGTAATCTTACAAAGGATGTATCAACTGACCTCTTCCCATAAATCAACAATTTGCTTTCCTTGAAGGGTTGAAAAGATGTAACAAAAAGCTGAACATGGCAGTTTATGCCTGTAACCCCAGGACTTGAGAGGTAGAAGTAGAGACAGGAGGCTCAGGGGCTCAAGGCCAGCCTCTGCTACATAGTGCATTTGAGGCCAGGCTGGGTTGTGTGAGACTCTGTATCAAATCAAATCAAATCAAAACAAAAAACCCAAAAAAACAAAGACAGAAAAGTAGGAAAAAAGTCATATTGAAGCCAGCATCTGGGGCTGGAGAGATGGCTCAGTGGTCAAGAGCACTGGCTGCTCTTCCAGAGGACCCAGTTCAATTCCCAGCACCCACAGGACAGCTCACAACTGTCTGTAACTCCAGTTCCAGTGGATCCAGCATCCTCACACAGACATAGATGCAGGCAAAGTACATAAAATAAAAATAAATTATTTTTAAAAACCCAGGATCTGTACAGCGCTGTGACACTCTCAGAGGGAAGAAGGCAAATATGAGTACTACTGCCACATCACCAAGAGACATCAGTGTTGTGGAATGTTTTTACACTGTGTGAAGGTAGATTGCTGTGATTGGTGTAATAAAAAGCTGAATGTCCAATAGCAAGGCAGGAGGTACAGGCAGGACTTCTGGAGACAGAGCGGAAGGAGGAAATGAATCTAGGCACACAAGAGATGCCAGGAGACACAGAAGCAGCAGGATGGGCGTATGTGGCAGAATGTAGATGAACAGAAATGGAGTAGGTTAGAAGAGCTGGTTAAAAACAAGCCTAAGCTAAGGTCAAGCTTTCATAATTAACAATATCTCCTTATTGTTATTTGGGAGCTGGCTGGTGGGACAGAGAAAGACTTGATATAGGGTGCCCAATGAGGGGCCACATATATCTACATGAGGCTTGATAAAGATTAAAAAAAGGTTCAGAACAGAGTCGAATGTAGCTACCTGGCAACCTTGGTCTCTTGGGTAGGCGCAGCTTACAGAGGCCTGCTGTGTAGCTGAGCACTTGAGCAGCAGTTATGCTAGGTAAAAAAAAAAAAAAAAAATGCAGTTTTCCAGAGCTGGTGTGGTTAGACACAGACACTGGAGGGGCAGAGTAAACCACCAGTACCATGCGCTAATATGCTAAGCAGAGAACACAGCAGCAGCCTAACAGTTTCAGATGGCCTCATGCAGTCAGAGGAGGCTGCAGACGCACAAAGAGTCAGGTCCAGGCCAGGAGCACCTCTAAACAGACACAATATATTTAAAAAAGGCTTAGGTGCTAAAACAAACAAAGTAAGAAAGAAAAAACCAAAACAAACAAAAAAGAAAACGAGTATAAATCGTCATTTAAAAAGTAATTTAAAAATAACAAAGTCTTTAAAGGAGAGTAAAATGATATAAAAGGAATAAGTCACACAAAGATGGGAAATACACAAGGCAACTGAATCCTGTATAGTACTTTCTTGACTTTGAATTTTCGAGATGTTAATACACAAAAAACAATAGCTGCTGAGAGACATTGGGCTATGGAAACTGCTAAATTAAACCAACCTATATATTTTAAGAACGTCTTCACTTCAGAATGAAAGTCAAAAACTATGTTGTGTTAAGGGAGCGGTTATGCCTTTGTTTCCACAGGAAACAAAGTTACGCTTCTCTTCAAAACTAATGAAGATCAGATGTGACTGGGAGAACTGAGGATCTTGACTACAGACATGAGAAAGGAAACCAAGAAAGACTACAGTACAGGTGACATATGTTCTGGTCCCTCTACTGTGAGAGTGGATGAACATGCTAAGTTTTGTTTGTGGCAGAATCCTCATGACTTATTTCATGCCGTCCTTTCATAGGACATGGATAGAGAATTTATATAGTCCAGATGAACTTAAAAAGTTGACATATATCTTTTACCTGTTCAAACAAAAAATCATCTTTAACTGACTTGTGCATACCACACATTCCATACTTGTGTTAATAGAGATATATATGTCACCTTTAAAAGTTTATGTGTTTTCAGAAAAAAAAAAGACCAGATACCAATGAAGACAAACAGCTCAGGTGATCCAGTCTCTCAGAATGCCACTTTTGCAATTCTGCATCCAGAACAACTGCAAAGCTGCTAGCTGAGAAGGTTCAGCCTTGAAGACCACTCACTAGCCAAGACTTCAGATAAGCTTTATTGTTTCCCAACACACAGAGACTATAACAATACAGCTAGCTCTCCCAGGATTTGACCATTAGCCCAATTTTCTTAAGGTCCCCAAAGATGCAGTCACCCCCAAAGAACAGGAAGCAGTCTAGAGAACATGATGCTCACATTCCCAAGAGGTGTGATGGGTGGTTTTTGGTCATTCAATAAGTTATGGTTATCTGTTACCATTTAGGGGAGCTGGTTGCAAATTGTTACTGGTTATGGTAAAGGAGGAAACTAAGCAAGGGAAGTTGGACTCAAGAATCTCTTC